TTATAACATTCCTCTTGTAGCCCAATGCTTCTGCTACCTGCCTGATTCTTTCTATTTCTGCATCCCTGTCTATCAATAAATGTCTGTATAGTTTAGTAAGCAATATTAATATTTAGTATTAACAGTTTGTCTATTAAGTTAGAGGTATTAATATTTTGTATTCACAATTTGTTTGTTATATTTGACTATTTTATTTTATTTTTAGTATTAGCAGCATTTGTATTAATTTTATTATTTAAAAACGTTATTTGGCTATTAATAGCGTACATGTTATTGGTTATTAATATTTATATTTTGTATTTTGAACTTGTTGTTCTATTTTTTGAAGTGTTCTAATTAACCTGACGATGATCCATTGATTGGATTGAAAACGTTTGTTTTAAGAATAAATCTCTCAGCGAGTGTTCAGGTGTTGATTAAGTTATTATTTTCTGCTGAGTAAGTTTTGGGTTGTTTATTTAGAACATAGTTGTCTGCTTTCATCTGATATTAAATATTTAGTTATTTGCTTCAGAATTATCACAATGACTGGAGAAAAACAGACAATGAAAAGTAGAGGTTTTTTGCAAACTTCAATTAGACATGAAAAAATCAGACATTATTAGATATTTTGACTGCTGGTTTCAAGCAGATTTTGATCTAAAAGCTCCTGGATAGACTTAAAAATGTTGTGATAGTAGCAAAAAGCCAGATTCAGGTTGACCAAAGGTGCAGTTGGACAACAAAGACAAGTGTATCCTGAAACATTTCCTCAATACAAAAGTTGGTCTTAGTTTCAACTTGTTGGTCAAAAGATACGGGATATCAAACAAAACTGTGAAAAGGATAGTGCTTAACATGAGATATGTGATGAGAAAACAACAGCAATGACTATCCAGTTTCTTCTAAGACAGAGATGCTCCTTTCACACTGTATGTAATTTTTCCTTGCAGTACAATTTTTTGTCATCAAGTATTTCTCCCTTTTCTTACAAAGTAAGAGGCAGAAAACGATGGTAACTTTTATTATGAGAGTTGTTATCCTTTCCTGCCCAGGCCCATCTTTAGGTGTGGGTCTACCAGGCCTGGGCCAGGGGCCTCCTAACATTAGAGACCTCAAAAATATGTAAAATTGAATAGAGCAACAAGTAATAAAATTATTATAAACAGTAAACAATCAAAAGATATGTTTGATCAATTTTATTAAACATAAATATAACAATATGTTTAGCAGAGAAAGCTAATTGAAAAAATTTATGAACATTAACCCTCCATTATGAATTCCTTAAGGGCACCTCCAAGCTTTTCTTGGCCCAGGGCCTCGCACCTATCAAAGGTGGGCCTGTTCCTGCCTCATACTTTGTAGAAAAGGGAGAAATACTTAATGGCAGAAAAGATTGCACTGCAAGACAAAATTTGGATAAAAGTTACTGGACTATCTGACAGTCAGACCAAAAGAATCATGAGAACTTTTTTGTGGAGTCAAACAAAACCATAGCCAGAATATACATGAGTGCATTGAGAAGAGATTTTTTTTTATATAAACAAAACCCAAACAACAAAGGATATGTTTTTGGCCCAATCTGGCCACTGCTCACTATGAACATCAGACTCAAGAAAAGCTGATTGAGTTAAGCATCAATTTTATGTTCAAAGAAAACAATCCATCAAATGTATCTCATCTCTGACCAATTAAACAATTGATTAATTAATAAGATGAAGTAAATGTTGGTCAAAGTTCCAATTGGTCAAACCTGATGTCAAGAGTTCACTTCTAGTATTTACCAAACTGTCTTAAGCAGTGCTTTAACATTTATCATTTACTCATTATTTGCTCACAGTATAGTAGATTAAATTTTTGTATTTCATACTTTAACTATGGTTTGATAAATTATTATTAATTTTCAACCAGGTTCAGATATGTAGTTTATCTCCCATACTATCTAATCAATAACTATAAGAAAAAAAAAGAGTGAAAGCACATATTCTTGCCTAACTCCAGCTTTTATTTACAAAGGATAGCTCTCCATAATGTTTTACTATATTTGAAATCAATATAAAAATATTTGTATTAAAAAAATACTCTTTTTGCACATTTCAACAAGTTGTGACAATGAACAGACTAATTGAATAGAAGAGCAATAGAAGTACTACTACATAGTTAGAATTTTGGGAACAAATTTGGCCAAATACTCTGTCAAAATTGCTTGACACGAATCAACAGATTCATGTTTTATTAGTAATTTTTCTGATTGCTAATTTTTAACCAGCTTTCATTAAAATATGTTGTTCTGTCATTTCAGTTTTTATGTACAGTACATTAAATCACATCCAAGATGTGTAAATTCGCTGATTGGTGGGTTTATTCCCTTTCATCGGAATGGTCTTAGGTCTTTGTGTATGTGGGTGATGGTTTTCAGAGGCAGAAAAAAACAAATGTTTCACAAAGAAACCATTTATTTTTCTCTGATGATAATGCTTACATATAACCGTCAAGGTCCTAAGCTTCGCAGTCCTTCAGTTAGTTGGCTTCGATGACTTCTTTTTCCAGCGATGGCAGAGCCCGGGACAGTGGCGAGTTAAAGTTTTTGAAGAGACGGAACACAGGATAGCGACAAACAGAAGCACGGCAAGAAGAGGGCAATGATCCCAGCAGGTATACTTGAGAGGACTCTGTTTGTCCTTGAATGCAGAGGTTTTATAGTTTCATCGGGATCGAATTATTTCTAATTGGTCGCGCTTTCCCTTCCCCACTGCTCTATTGGTCTCTTACCTGTCTCTAGGTGAAAATTGAGACCAGTTTAGGTTGCAAGAAAGGTCTTCCCAGGATATTTTATTTGACACCATCTTTTTGACTCTGATCGTGCTTTGTCAATGATTATGACACCTATGCCCATTGTATTACAGTTTCATTTTGTTTTACTTTATTGCATCTTAAGTTTAAATATTTTCCTTTTTAATTTTCTTTTATTCTAAAATTTTGTTTTTCCCGCTATTCGTTGAGGGATGATATCAAAATATCCCATCCAAATTCCAATAATTTTCTCTATATGATTAAAGATGTATGGGATCTAGTATTGTTATGCTGGAAAGCCGCACACTTCTTGCTAATGCTGATTGTTTTTCTTTGATGGATGTCTTCAGATCATCAAGTTGGGAACAGTGCTTTTCTTGTATTAGTGGTCTGATTTTGAGCTAGCAGTTCATAATAGATAATTTCTTGCCTGTACCTCAGATATGAACTGGCTGTTGATTATGTTGCAGGAAGTCGTTTGACTTTCTCTGTGATCTTTTCATTGTATATTATCGTAAATAATCAATAAATTTGTCATCACTAGTAATTAGGAATCCAAAAAAGAATCCCTCTGGTTATGTTTCAGGAAAGCTGGCAGATATTATTAGGATTAAAAAAAGCTAGTCCACCCAAGCAAAGGTTTACACTTTCACAAATGAGATACAGGGAAGTTTCTTCAGCAAAGTTGCAAAAGCAATGTAAGTTTAAGAAGGTGAGTTTCAGGGAGGCATAAATGTTTACAGAAGTGACCAAAAACTGATTATGATGTCAACCATAAAGCAAATATAATTCTTCCTGAAAGCAAGAAAATCCATAGTTTGCATTTAAATCAAAGCTTGACAAAATGCCTTATTCCTCTACAGTCCAGGAGTTATCCTCCACTATTTTAAATGACTAGAAATGATTGTCTTTAATAGCTCTAGAAAAAATATTAAAAATAATAAATCAAATAAAAAGCTCCCTTCATACAATAAATCATCACTTACATTACTAGCAATTCCTTCAAGTCCTGGCATCCACAATAGAAAAAAGGCTGTTGTGAGTAGCCAGTTCAGAGACTCAAACTGCCTTTTTAGACAAGTACTGAAAGTGAATTGATAAGATTCAAGTAGTTTCAAGGCAGCCTGACTGTTGGAAGCAATATAGATAATCTTATCAAGAGGACACCTCCTTAAATTAGTGCAAATATGACAATAAATTACAATATGCATTATTTCACTTTGTTTTAAATTTAAATAATTATAATTTAGTGAAATTATTTGTGAAATTCAGTTCTTAAATCTCATCAGATTTAAAAACTGAAATCTGTTATACTTTAATATTATATTAAAATTTTATACTATGGTTTTGAATTTTGTTAATTAAATATATTTCTCTGGAAGAAAGACGTTAATTATAGCAAATAATGAATAAAATATTATTATAGTTTATTTGAAATTGCTCAAAGTGATGATAAAATGTATACTTTTGTAACCTTCAATACTTCACTAATAAATGTTATTTACATAGATACAAAACTTTATAAATTATAATATGCTGTTATAGAACAAAATGCAATGTAGCATTTTCTGAAAAGAAAATTTTTCTTCATTTCAGATTTCCCCTCATAATAAAATTTCACTTTTTTTAATATGAGGAAAATCTGTATATTCTATTATATACATCTTTGTTTGATATTCACAAATTAAAGATGTAGGTACAATAGACTCTCACTAATCTTATCATTTCTGGTACAGAGGGGTATCAGTTTACTGAGAGTGTATAGGCATAAAGCCAATGAATGACGTTTACCTGTTGCCCTTTGGAACCAATTTTTTTTTGGAAGTAGGCATATGAATGCAGTACTGTATACAAAAATGAAACCTGATTAAAGAGGAAAACAGGATGTATGACATAACTAACATTTTCATGAAAGCCAAATTACTTAGGTGATTACACTGGAAGGCATAGCTGGATTATCAAGGGCTGGAGTAGTGAGAGTCTACAGCAATAGCATATGGTATTTCTACACTTACAAATAAGTATATATCATATTGTTAAAATAATTGTAAAATAATCATACAGTTAAACCTAAATATTTTTCATTACTTTTAGTTTGAATAAATTATCTATTGATATTTTTATTCTTAAAAAATAAGAACCAAATAAAATTGATTTAATTTCAAGCAATACTAAAAAATTACTGGTTATTAATATATATATTATATAGAAAATTTTTATAATTTTAGCAGTGAAGACGATGTGCTTGCAGAAAATACATCTGAACTTTGTGAGGGTCTGGAACAATTTAATATTCAATAAGTTTGTATGTGTCATATAGCAAATGCTATCTTTGTGCCAAAATAATGCAATTTAGTCCGTACATGTTTCACAAAATAATGAAGATTTTAAGCTCAAAATTAGTTTTTCTTTTGCTTTAATGAGAGTAATATTTGTAAAAAAAACATTCTGCTTTCACTGTTACATGTCAGACATTACCATATTTGTAAAAATTTGGATGCCATTTACACATTTCCATAATTATTTAATAGAGTAGATGATATTTATTGTAAATTATCTTTGTATATCATAAATGATTTGTGTAAATACACTTTTACTATAATTATTGTTAAATGTACTATGTATACATCCCACACAATTTTAATGAAATTTTTAAACACAGTTAATTGTGTTTAATAACATTAATCACAATTTTTTCATTTAATAAATAAAATATTTTTTACTTTGAACATTTAGTTTGATAATTTTATAGTATTTAAATAAATTTTATATAAATTTTTGTATTATTAATGTAATGTTGCTTCATAGTTTTTATGAATAATTTGTTTAGTGTCAGTTTCTATACATTGATAACTACAAGGGAGGATCAATAAATAAGGTAACACATTGATTTCTAAATATACCTTTATTAATAGAAATATGAAACTTCAGATACACAATCTGTAGGTAAAAACACTGTTTCCACATAATAATCATATTTGTCAAGCACTTGTTCCACCAGGTATCAATGAATCTATTCTGTCAGAAAAGAATTTTGTGTCAACATCCTCCAGCCAAGTGATGATTCCTTGTTGCACACTCACCACCAGAAAAGACCAGGGACACTGTGAGAAAAGTGCACAACAACGCAAGACCACACACTACCCACAGCAATGATATACACAGAGGTTTTGGAAGATGCTTCCTATAGCACAGACCTAGCACCCAGTGACTTCCATATCTTTGGGCCCATGAAAAACATTTTCATGGATGCTTTGACTATGGAAAGCATATAACAGGCTGTCATTGCCTGGTTGGAGAGTGTTGACACAAAATTTTTTCCTAATAGAATGGATGCATTGTTCACCTGGTAGAATAAACGCTTGGACAAATTTAATGATTATGTGGAAACAGTGTTTTTACCTATGTATGTTTGTAGTTTCACATTTCAACTAACAAGTGTATGTTCAGAAATCACTTGTTACCTTATTTATTGATCATCCCTTGCATAAATTTTTATATCAGAAAGGTACAAATGTAAATATTAAATAGTACTACAGTATACTTCAATAGAATACCCTATTACAAGAATACAATAATACTATTTAATATTTTGTCTAATCCATCTTTAAAGGGCATTGTTTAATTTTATGGTAAAGATTTGAGAGGCTTATATGCATATATTTATTATTTTTTCTATTTTTCCCCTTGAATAAATTATCTAATTCAATTATAAAAATATGTTACTTTTTACTTTCCTTTATAATTTTAAATTATTTTTCAATACTGTATTTATGTTCATTCTGAAGAATTATCAGTATTACTTGTATAGCAAAGAAAATATGTATTTTGAATGCATTATCAAATGCAAATTATACATTTTTTAAAGAAATGATTAATTAAAAAAAATGATTGTTTGATAATGCATTTTATATAAACAGTATAAAACTGCACAAATGTATTATGTATAACATATCAGTCAATCAGCAATTAAAAATTACACAGTGTTATATATATTATTGTACACAATTATGCAAATTATATTTAATAAAACCTCTTAAATGTCAATAATGTTTCAATCATATTTCTATAAAATCACTGTGTTTATTTTTCTTTTCACAAAACATTTACAGAAATGTGGTTTAACATCCAACATTTTCATGAATACAGTTAAATTGAGCAGAAATGGGATGAAATGTGGAAAATTCCACCTGTACAATTGGTAAAAATGTCTAATGCACCATCAACCATTCAAAATATAGTACAAGTAATCAATAAATTCCTATCTACTATTGATTACATATTATTGCACACACTAATCTTTCCCTTTAGCACCTCAGTAATTTATGAAAACACATTATAATTGTATTAAATATATTATTAACCTTTACCAGCTTATATGAGAAAATATTTCATAATATATCTACAATTAAACCAATTATTGTTTTAACTTCTATTTCAGTTAATTTCATTAAATATAAATTAATCTATGTAATTAGTTTTTGCTTTAATATATTGTTTTAGATACAATGAATAATCTGAAATCAAAATTACTATTGAATCTGAACTATCTTAATTGTTAAATTACTTATCATTCAAGGTGATACAAAAACAAAACGATTAACAGTGCCAAGTTATTTAATCCAGTAATAAATTTAGCTATTTTTGGTGGATTTCAGGTAATTCCATGTAACCGAGTCTGACATATTTAAAAATTATTGTAAAATTTGTGTATTACAAAGCCTGATATGTGTTTTCAAAACTATCATTTGGGCAAAAATGCTATAAAATGAAATGAATAAATAAGAAAATGCTATTTACATTCATTCACACCAAATATCAAAATACAAGCATTATTACCAAAATATCAAACACTATGAATAAAGATAAAAAAAAATAATAAAAAACAAATTGAGCTGCAAGCTGTATAACTGTCAAAAATTTCTAGAAACTAAATCACAATTTTTTTCTGCTATCACTAATGAAATTTAATTCCAAGATACAAACAAGGAATTTTACATGTAAAAAACTTTTTTTTTAGAAAACTGATTTTTAGACTAGAATAAATAACCAATGGTTTCTGATGAATGTGGTTAAGTTGTAACTTGAGATTTACCTCTTTAAAATATTTTGTAACAAATGCCTTTTTAATTCTTCAGCAATTTCTTCCATTTTTTTAACTTTGATCCGCAAAGTTTCATTTTCTCTTTCCAACATATCTGCCCTCCTCTCCATCTCTCTCTCCTTTTCTTTTCTAGTCATTCTGGATCTTTGAGAAGCAATATTGTTTTTTCGTCGTACATCTTGATGAGTCTCGTGTTTAATGACTAAACTTTTATTATACTTTGAAAGTTTTGCAGAGTTCTCAAAAGAAATTTCTTCGGTCGAAATGTTAAAACATCTTGATGGAGAAAATGAAGATCGTTCATTTACAGATACAATTTCACTTGAATAGCTGCTTACGGTAAATGAGCTATTGGACGAGCTATTTTCTCCGATACCTGAATGTGTAGAATATGATTCAGATAGGATGGATGAAGTAGAAGCAGTTTGAGCTGTTGTTCCCTGTTAAATTTAAAATAAAATTTAAGTATAAAAGTTGCCAATATATTTGTATTTTAAATTGTATACAACTTTTATGTATAAATCTTTAAAAAAAATTAATACCAGAATATAATTAAAAATTACTAACCCCTGGCATGAGTGGAGTTAGATCCTGGAATGTGTCACTTGATGTGTCCAAAAAGTTTGGAAGGAATTCTTCATTCTTATTTAGACATGATGATGTATTATGACTAGAATTTTGAGCCAGTGACGGGAATACGTGATTAGTCTCCATCGAATGTAATTCTGTAAATGACGGTAGAGCTTGATCATCAATTGTCGTTTTATTGCCTTCGTTCCATTTTCTGATGTCATCTAACATCATCAGATCTTCAAGATGAAGAAGAGGGTCATATTCTTTTTCTAATAAAAATTCTCCTACTTCAGGAACATTTACTCTGTCTTTTTCCAACATAAAATCTGGAAACGTAAGTAAACAAATGATTTCAGAAAACTTTTTAACATTAAATACTTATTTAGCATTTTCATCTCTATGTGTTTTCAAATTGTTTGATAATGGGCAAAACATTAGTGGTTCTTATATTAATCTGACTTTCCAGTAAACTAGCTAATTGTGAATTGAAAATGTTTTACATGAATTTTTTTGAGGTCTAATAAATGATTACGACTCATTATACGGTTGGATATCTTTAAGCGACTCGATAAATATAGATTTTAAATGGTGTCTAATAATGATCTTGGAATCGAGCCCAGTGCACAGATATAATAAAGATGTATCATTTTACCGAAACAGTTTTGTGTGCATGTAGATACCGAAAAAATGCAAGTGTACATATATAATTACCAAGAAAATGCTAAAAATTTACATATAACTTTTATTAACTTTTAAAATGAAACTTACTGTCCAGATGTTGAACACACAGTGGAATATTGAAATTTGGTTTAAGTTCAGGAGAATAAAATGTAAACCCATCTTCATACATTTTATTTGGATAGAGAATTTTGCTACTGCCTGAAGTTTTTTTTTTTAAATTTTCATTCCAAATTCTGAAATAAAAAGAGAATTATTCATAATTAATAATTTTTAAATAAAAACAATTATTTTTTCTTCAATTTAAATATTTATGACATTACTAAAATGAATATTTTTCGGTAAAAAAGTTGATTTTATTTATATATAATATAATTGTGTAATATAATATAAATTTTTATGTTATTTTCATATTTGCTAATTAGATAAAAAGAGAGATCGGAGTAGGAGTGGTCTTTTTATTGCAAAATAAGTTTCATTTTCCCAATTCATTGCGGTGTTTATAATATAAACACGCGTTTCACATCGTATATCATAGAAAAGGAATTTTCGCCGGAATTAAAACTTAAGTTAAATTAAGTAAAATAATTAGTAAATCAAGTAAAAAAAAAACTAAAAATTTATAATTTTTAAAACACGAATATTTTCTACATATTATATATACATATAATAAATAAAAAATGTCGTATTTTATAGAAATAAGCTATAGAATGGTAATAAAAAGTTTAAAACTCACCAAAGAATTTGGTAGATTTTTTGTCAAACTTTCTGTATTTTTCTAGCCGCGAGAAGTCCAGTGACCGACTCGGATGGTTTAATCGGTGGAAGACTCCACAGACACTAACACACACTTTTATAATCTGTGACTAAAAATATACATTACATCAACTGAAAGCGTCCAATCGGAGAACTCCGACATGATATCATTTTTAACGAATAGCTCTTCTAATAACGTATAGCAGCTCGTCCAATCGGCTTCCCGGAATCTAAAACATTACATCATGCAGAATGGTCGTGTCGGGTCACGATTTTCTTGTTTTGAATATATTTAACAACACCAGTTTTGCGATAAAGATAGAAAAGATAATATAATCGATTCACGCAGAAAGCCCTTTACTCCGGATATACAACTTATATAAAAATAATTTTTTTAATATAAATTTATATACAAATAATTTTAATTGTGTTACGAAATAGATATATACTTAACGAACCGTGTTAAGTTATTCGATACACGAGATTTGGCATAGCTTTTGTGACGTCGACAATCGGAAGTGTTATACGTGGCATCGTAGTATAAACACTTACGTAAGGCCACACTAAAGGTGTTCTATTTATAACTTTAGTCGTTTTGCCAACCATTTTCACCGTGTAGTTTAGTTTTAGTAGTTTACATTCGCTGAATTTTCCTTCCTAAACAAATTAAAAGATTTGTTTTCGTAACAATTGAAAGAAAAGATTTATTAAGAGCGATTGAAGACAGATCTACTCCGTATCTAATCTGTAAATTATCACGATTTATCGACAGTATTGTGTATAATGTGTGATTAGACATGGAGCCAGTTAATAGTTTTAATTCGGTTACTTTATTAAATCGGGTATTTGATATTAAACAGTGTTTTTTGCCTGAAGTGCTGTAGCACGTTTGATTCTAATCTGAAAGGGCGTTATCTGGTACAGTTTTCCGAGAATCGTTCAGCTTGTAGCCATTTAATCAATTTCTACGAATTAAAGTTTTCCTCGTTATCACGGATGATACTGAATTGTATTATGTATATAAATAATATATATAAAAATCTATAATCTCTTTGTTTTTAATACATTAATGATCATATAAATAAACAATACGCGTGTTTTATGGTGTACATTGTATTTACGAGATGATAAGTTTTGCTGACTTGCACTCGAGAGGGATGTGTAACCTCCCTAGAAAGTTTTGGCAAAGTATCAAAAGATAATTATTATACTTTTAATTATTCAAATCATTTTATTTTCAGTGTCGAAATGTTATCGGATGCGATGCTCTTATATAAATAGAAAAAGTTGTAAGTTAGTTTTCTGTAAATTTATTAAGTTACAGGTCGAAGTTTAAGCTTTGTATACAGTTAGTCGACACGAAACTTTTGTTATATAACGTGAATTTCCGTCGACTTTAAAGTTTAAAACGAGCTTTGTTCCCAATTCGATAGTTATAATAATCGGAAAAACATTCAGAAAGCGTTAAAACGTTCACTATTTACTAAATTTTCCCCAGTATTTGATGAATCACTAAATAATCATTATTAATAAACGATGACTGACTTAGAAGCGAACGTATGTTTAATTTGGATGAGAATATATGTTTACAATATATATTATCTTTCGAACTAGAATATAAAAGCTATATGTACTGTACAGTACGTAATTTTCATGATCCAACTCTAAAAAATTGGTAAATTTATTCTTTGTAACGTTTTACGTAACCGTTTTAAATACAAATAGTAGTTAAGTTATTCTTTAGTCGTATTCTGTATATTTTATAAGTTACGTAAAGACAACAAAAATATAATTACATCTAAAAATCCTACAAAATGTAAACTTTTACTATTACACGCAATATAATTTAACGTAATAATATGTAAAGGTAAGATATATTCCTGTATAATCATTTTTAATAATTCAATATTAAAATTTATAGTGTATCGATTTATGTAATAAAAATGATAAATTTTCTTCTTATCCGATCGATGTTTAATTTTGTTTTATTTGGCAATTTCGTTTACAATCTTTATCAGATATGATTTAAAATGTGTTTAAAAATAAGATTATGTGACCATATTAGGCTCAGTTTACGGGCATTTTTCTGAGTTTTTGTCATGTTGAAATACCGAAATTTGGTATAAAGTAGACAAGTATTAAGGGTTTTCAATAGTTCTAATCCTATAATCGATAAATAATACATTTTTTAAATTTTATTCTGATGTGTTTTAATAATTTTATGTTATATAAAACTTGTTAACACATCTGTAAACGGATTTTCGTTTGTTTCCTGGATTCAATTTCCTGTGTTTTAACTGTTTCTAATCTTATTAAATGCTGTATATAGAAGGAAAACTTTTATACGTGATTTAATTGGAAAAATAGAAATTAATCCGATCCCGATGATGGCTGTTTTATAAATAAAACGGACAGTAGACAGTAGGACTAAATATCGATATACAGGTTTATATAAACGGGCCTTCTAAACATTTATTCTTTTATTCATAGTCCTCAAAATATTCATCCTATTCATTTTAACAAGTACTGTATATAATATGAATATTTTATCGATGTTTCGATTCTCAAAATTTCAACATCCTCTATCACGCAACATAATTGATAAACTTAAATGTGATTAATAGTGCTGCCCTCTGGCAACAAAACTTTCATAATTTTTAAAATAATTTTTTAATACAGTACTGTACTACGAATTTTTTCTTTCTTATGAAAATAGTCAACGTTTGTCGTATTTTTAAACTAAGTAGTTCGATGGCATTGAAATAACTCCGAATAGATCTAATAATAATAATAATAATAATAATAATAATAATTTATTTTGGTTTTTTTTTTAGCTTGATTGTTTCAATCTGCCTAGGTTAGTGAAGATTCGTTTTTAGTTGGAATAAATCTAAAACTTTCATCCAAAAATTAAACTAATAACTAAATTTATTCTGAATATAATTTTAATTGTTATATAATGTGATGTCAAAGTAAATGGAAGCGATAGTTGAACAGATTAACTAGTTAGTTATGAACACGAATCAACATTTGCACGAGTTATATATGAAACGAATACAAACCATAACATACAGAACATGACACACAAACCGTCTTAAGATCATTCAATCTTATGATGGTTTGTGTTATTTTTAGACTTACAGATTATAACTTTATTAATTCTATAAATTAGTACTACCGTAAAGAATCTCGGTTTCCAATTCGGATGGAAAGCTCGTTTCTCATTAGTCGAATGCTCTCTTTTTGGCTTGGCCCAATCCGTGAAAAAAGGCTTTCTTAGTGCTCTCGTAGCGGAAAGAATTTTAAAAAGAAGTGATTTTTTATAAAATGATAGAGTTAATAAAATGAATAGAAAAATATTGAAAGAATTATTTTAAAATATAATTTTAATTTACCAAATAAGTAGCTGTTTTATACACAATGCATTTCAAGGGAATAATCATAACCAGTTTTAGAGTTTATTGTATTTTCTGAAAACCGGCTATCGCAGTTGAATGACAGTTCTTGCTGTAATTTTTATATATATAAAAAATTAATTTCATTTTTACTATTATATTTTAGAAAATATTATTTATTGATAGAGCTACAATGAATGTGACTCAGAGTTTCTTTTCAGTTTTTCCTAAGTTTTTATTGCCGAAAAGTTCTGCCCATTTAATTTTCTGTATATATCCGGCATAGTTTTCTTCAAGGAAACTTTCGCATACTTTGTTTTTAAATTGATTCTTTGAAGTAGCCGTTAAATACATTTCGCTATCAGGTTGATGATAGGAAAATCTTAATTACTAAAATTTTATAATTACTTAATCTAAGAATCCGCCGCTTTACAGATTAATTTTATTCGATTAAAAGTGTAACTAAATTGATCATGAAAATGATTATATCGTTAAAATAATCATGCGAAAGTGATTTTTGGATTAGAATAGTTAGTTCGGTGGGATAAGGCAACGCAACACGAGAGTGATTTGCCAAGGATTTCCTCCCGGATGTGCTTCCCCTGTAAAACTGATCGCTAGGTGTTTAAGCACGTGATGAAAAGGCGGAAAACTCCACGCGAAAAGCCCATTGTTCCGGTGCGAAGGAAGTTCCACGTTTAATTTACAACTGGTCTAGACATATCTTTCAGGCCCTGCTGACAGCGTTTCTTTGGGAAATATTTTTTTTGTAATGAATCAACTACCGGTGCTCAGTGGCTTTATCCATCGTTGGGTTGAATTACGCTGTAATCTTGCCTACAGATTTGATTTAAAACACGATACTTTTTATGGAAGAAAAATCAATCGAGAGCCTATTTTTATTAAAAATTATTANAAGGTGAGTTTCAGGGAGGCATAAATGTTTACAGAAGTGACCAAAAACTGATTATGATGTCAACCATAAAGCAAATATAATTCTTCCTGAAAGCAAGAAAATCCATAGTTTGCATTTAAATCAAAGCTTGACAAAATGCCTTATTCCTCTACAGTCCAGGAGTTATCCTCCACTATTTTAAATGACTAGAAATGATTGTCTTTAATAGCTCTAGAAAAAATATTAAAAATAATAAATCAAATAAAAAGCTCCCTTCATACAATAAATCATCACTTACATTACTAGCAATTCCTTCAAGTCCTGGCATCCACAATAGAAAAAAGGCTGTTGTGAGTAGCCAGTTCAGAGACTCAAACTGCCTTTTTAGACAAGTACTGAAAGTGAATTGATAAGATTCAAGTAGTTTCAAGGCAGCCTGACTGTTGGAAGCAATATAGATAATCTTATCAAGAGGACACCTCCTTAAATTAGTGCAAATATGACAATAAATTACAATATGCATTATTTCACTTTGTTTTAAATTTAAATAAATTTCAGATTTATATAAAACCATTTATTATTATTATTTCTATTTTTAAGTTATTAAAGTTAATCAGGGAAACCAAAATCTTTTAACTAACTCGTAAGAGTTCTACCGAACCCGTGAGAATTATCTACAAATTTAACATAATCTTGTAATTTTAATATTATGAAACTGATCTGTCGACATTTTCCTCACCAATATGAAAAAACTTATCATCTAAAGTGTAAAGATAATGTATTTTGATAATTATATTACTTTGATTTTTGATTTCGACAAAAATTATT